TATATGTATCAGAGTAGAAATGTGGTCCATAGGATTTTCAATGGCTGGTTTTTTGGAAGTCAATAGCCGTGACTTTCTTCTGTGTTTCCTTGAGAAGACTGAAATTTCCTGTCTTCCAATTACTATCCAAGAGCATTAACTCTTTGCACCACTCATAAGAATCTCAAACTCAGTAAGTTCAAAATCAAGCTCTGTGCTCCTCTCCCTTTATTTCCTATTGCTTTCTGGCATTTATCTACATTAAAAGTTTAGGAATCATCATCCTTCATTACCCTTGTCATCCAATTCCAATCAATCAGTAAGTCCCAATCACTCTACTGCACCTCTTTAATATTGTATAAATTTGTATTCTCATCTCCAGCCAGCTTTCCTAGTTCTGTCCTAATTCAGTCCCTCATTTCTTGCTTGGAGTACACTAAACTTTTTCTAAATGATCTAGCTGTTTCAGAACACACCCTCCTCAAATAAATCCCCTTCCAAATTACCAGAAAGATCTACTGAAAATAGAATTCAACACAAGTTCCTCAGCTCCTTGAGATTCTTCAGTAGCTAATCACTTAATATCAGCTACCCAGACACAAAAAGACAGTGGAAAAAATATTGAGGGAAAATTATTACGAACCTAGAATTTTATACATGGGTAAATGATCTATAAAACAGAAGGAAAAATCTATAATTTTCAGATACACAATGGCTAAGAGAGTTTACCACTTACAGATCCACACCTAAATGAATTACTAAAAGATTTGTTTCATCAGGAAGAAAAATGGAACCAGAGCCAAGACATGTTATATTAAAAATAGTATGAAGCACAGATATTGATCAAATATGTCAGTAAATTAATTTTCTATTGAGGGTAAAAGAAAAAGAACTTAAATTTTGTGTTTAATGAAAAAGCAAAACAAAGTATAGCCAGCAATAATGTGAGAGGAACAAGGTGGTATCCATTAGGTAGGGCACACTCAAATCTTTGTTATGTTACAGAAGAGAATAGGAATACTGAAAGAACCTATATTTTTAAAAAGATAATTTATAGATAATTATATAGATGACAAAATTAAGAATAATAAGTAAAATAATTAGCAATAACATCCATGGATTATAAACAGCAGAGGAGAAACAAAATAGAGAAAATATAATTGAAGAGAAGCTCAGAAAATAAAGTATTTTTAAAAAGCAAAGAAATAGGATGATTGAGATAAAATGCAAGTAATATGTTACCAATAATAAAAAATACAGCAATAATAGTGTTATTTATAAAAATTTTAGATTTATCTGTTAAAAGCCACATATTATCACTTGCCTTATACAAAAATAAAATCCAGAATTATGCAGCTAAGACATACCCAAAGTATCTCCACAGAGAAATTCTAAATTTCTTAAATAAAATGTAGAAAAAGAATATATTCTTTGAAATTCTCATTTTTAAAAAAAAAGTTTAGTTGGTAATAGGAATATTAGAAAAAACAGAATGTAAATCCAAATGTCATTAAAGACATATTAAAAAGTTAGGACAATCAAAAAGTTAATAAGTTGGGCCAATGAAGCTATCAAATATGCTGTGAAGAGGGTAATTGATACAACTAAATTTTTGTTGTTGCTGTTTTTGCTGAAAGTTTATAGAGAAAATTGGTTTTCTATTCAACAATTCATACACATTGTGTTTAGTGATGTTCATTGTAATCTTCACAAAGTAATAGCACTCTTCCCACTTCTTCCCTGTGTCTACCATTTCCCTTCATCCTTTTCTATGCCTTCCTGTGTTCTGAACTTTATCTTTGGGCAAATGCTGCCTTTTTGATCTGCTATGATTGATTGCTCTAATGAATGCATACCTTCCCAGTATTATCTTTCACCTTATAGGCCTTACTATTGTTTGGCTAAAAATTGAGCCACAGGTGTGAATTCATTTCCCTACTTGAAGAAGGTCCAAGAGCCGTAGTCTCAGGAGTTGCACTACTCCTCATCAGACCAATAAGCCTACTGTTTTTTTTTTTTTTTTTTCAGTTTTGTTCCACATTTCTCTCTCACTCTGTTTGGGACCACCAATTGTGATCCCTTTCAGCAGTGGCAGGGAGGGCTTCATCTAGTTTTTCTGGTCTCAGAGTCATGGAAGCTGGGGTTCATGCGGTCCACTCATCCTTTGAACTAAGTATTTTCTGTGACTTTAATTTTCTTCACTCTTCTTTGCTCCAGATGGGGAAAGATCAGTAGTTGCTCCTTAGATGGCTACTCACAAACTTTTAAGACCCAGTAGCTACTCACAAAGTAGGATATAGAACATTGTGGACTATGTTATACCAACTGATCTTAGTATCCCCTAGATTATGGTCCTGAGCCCCAATGCCCAGCAATTCATTTCCTCAAAAAGTTTGGTTACAAGTAAGAAATTTTCAAACTTTGCCCCATATATCTCTACCACATCCATGTATATATTTGTGGCACATATAATACATTAAAAAAAAAAAATCCCAAACTCACTGCCGTCAAGTCAATTTTTACATATAGTGACCCCTGCTTGGGTTTCCAAGGCAGTATCACTATGGAAGTAGAGTGCCCCATCTTCCTTCTGAGGAGTGACTGGTGGGTTTGCACTGCCACCCTTCTGGTTAGCAGTCAAATGTCTTAGGCATTACACCACCAGTAGAGATATCCTCTGTTATATCTATATATATTCATATATATTTATAGGTGTAATCCCACTCACCTTCACCTTTGTTCAGCACTCTTACAAATAATTGTTATTACATTATTGTTATTGCAGGATTGTGTGTGTAATAGTGTTCACGTTGTTGCCTTTACTTCTTGTGCTCCTCCTAATGTCTTCCTTGCCTTGATCATTTTGTTCTGACATCGCTCCTTGGTATACATTGTTATTCTCTTCACCTAAGTTAATATATGTCTACCCTCTAGTTACTGATTTATACTCCATTACCCTTATATCCCTGGTAAGCTTCAAAGAATGATTCTTTCTGTGAGTAAAGCTTTTCTTGCTTTTTTATGATAGTGGTATCAAACAATATATTATGTATGATATTTGTGATTAATTTCACACAGCATAAATGTCCTTTAGGTTCATCCATGTTATGAAGTGTTTTGCAGACACATTGTTATTCTTTAAAGTTGTGTAGTATTCCTTTGTGTATATGTGTCATAATTTGTTTACCCATTGTTCTGTTGCACTTAGGTTGTTTTCATTCTTTTTGGTATTGTGAACACTGCTGTGATGAACATGAGTATGCATATATCAGTTCATGTCACAGCTCTTATTTCTCTAGTGTATGTATCTAGTAGTGGGATTGTTGGATCATATGGTATTTCTATTTTCAACTTCTTAAGGAAGTGCCATACCACTTTCCACAATGGTTGTAGCATTTTTCAGTCTCACCAACAGTGTACATGGGTTCTAGCCTTTCCACACTCTCAGTAGTATTTGTTGTTTTCAGTTTTTTGAATATGACTATTAATGTTGGGATAGCGGATCTCCTACTCCACCATTTTGGATCTTCCATCTGATACAAATACTTTGGACAGTAAAGTATCACGATCATGTAGATTTATAAAGTGTAAATAGTAATAATAATAAATAAACTTTGATATATTCATATTCAGAAATTCCACACAACAATAAAATCCACAAATCAGAAATTAGATGTATAAGTGTATAATAAGTATGACATATTTATATAAAGTTTAAAAATCTAGAAAGGATACTATACACAAATTCATGGAAATGGTAAGTATCAAATCTAAGAGGGCTGGTAGTAGAGTCAAGGAACAGTTCACAGAGGGCTTTAACTACATGTAAAATATTATTTCTTAAGAGAAAAAATGTGAAGCAATTATGACAAAGTAATAAGTGCTGATGAAGCTACCATTGCACATTATGTTATTTTCTATACAGGATATTTGAAATATTTTATAATTTCAAAAATAACATGCTTGCTATAGTGCCTGACACATCATTAAAAACACAAAATGCGTGTAATTATTATTACTGTCAATATTTCTAGTAATATTATTATGCTAGTAGGCAATCTACTTCTGTAGTGATACCACCTCAGAAAGCTAAGGAGGGGTCGCTATGAGTTGGATCCAACTCGATGGCAGTGATCTTAGTTTGGTTTGGTTTAGTAATAAACTAAAACAACTGCTACTATTATTGCAATTACTACTACCTCATCCACTATTACTTTTACTAATAGAATTATTAATTACTGCTAAAAATCTACCCTGTTAAAGAAACTTATGGCTCTTTGGTAAAGAAAAGAATTCTATTGCAAAAACAGGCATCCCTAATATATCTCTTCTATAAGTTGAAATATGTGCACATTAAATATTGCAAACAACATTTTTTGGTTATTTAAACTGGTCTTTGAAAACAGAAAACCTATCAAACAAATATACTATATTATTTGAGAAACTTTTTCTGAGAATATTTTCTCTTTCATAGACATTTCTTGGTTACCACTCTTGTGCTCAAAAAGAAAGATTAAAACATAGAGCAACAAAAAAAATCTCTTTGTGCCCCAAAATCTGAAAAATATTTTTAAAGCATTAAGGAGAAAGAGAAAGACTTGTGTTTCAATGAAGTAATTTTGTACACAATAATTTAATTAAAATTTGATATAAAAACTAATATTCTTCTCAATGATTACATTCTCCTTAATGATATGGTTTAGAAAGTAATACATTAGCAAGCAAAGAATTAATATCTCTTACCCAGTTTTATAGGGAGTCCTTGGGTCGTACAAACAGTTAACTTGCTTGGCTGCTAATCAAAAGGCTTGAGTCCAGCTAGAGGGTCCTCAGAAGAAAGACCTGGAGACTATGTAGGAAAGATCACAGCCATCGAAAGCCCTATGGAGCACAGTTCTACCCTGACACACAGGAGTCACTGTGAGTAGGAGTCAACTCAATGGCAACTGGTAACCTGGTTTATATAAAATAAAACAACTTAAAATTTTAGTAATAGGAAAGCAAAAAACACATCAACTAACCCTGGCGAAAACATGCAAAGGATCTACCATGGCCATCCATTGATGCAGAGATACTCTTTTTTGTTTCTTTCTCTGAATGACCAGTCGTATTTTCCAAATTTGATTCTGCTTTCTCTGCTTCAGCCAAGAAACAAGGTGGAAATTCAGGGGTAAGTCGAATACGTCTTTCATGGTGTTTTTGGTCATCCAAATGCAAAGGAAGTTTAATTACCTAATAAGAGAGAAATTTGTTATCTAAATTTCTGAAAATATCACACACACAGTTAAATTTTCTCTAGATCAACAATACAATTTGCATAATCCAAAAGGTCAAATATGAATTCTATTTTTGAAGTCTTTTATTTGCTTTTCTTTGACTGTACTACAAAGAATGCATTTTATATATATGTTTACAAATTTACGTACTTGCTTGAGATATTGTCATTGGTCCTGTACATTTATTAATTTTTCTTTTGTTTTCACTTATAATTTTCTTCTTCCAAATAACAGTTTGTCTAAAATTCATATTGGAATTAAATTAACAAAGATTCAGTATTTACTACATGCAAGGGGTAATATTTTAAGTTCAAAAGAAATGACAAAATAGAACCTAAGCAATTCTCTCCATTTTTCTCTATTCTTAAAGTGTTAATAATAAAGTACTTGGGAGAAATATTCAGAAAATTGAGGAATTGATAGAAAAAGTTTTCTTGGGAAAGTAATGATAGAGGCTATCTTACTTGAATTATTTACCCTCTTACATCCTTACACACATGCTAAGGGTGTAGAGGTTTTACTGAACCAAAGTGGTGCTCAGGCCTCCTGCCTAGGGTTCAAGACTATTAGCCTGAATTCTGTCCCTAATAGCTCTGGTAGCATAGTGCCTAAGGCACTTGACTGCTAACCAGAAGGCTGGCAGTTCAAAACCACCAGCCACTCCTCGGAAGGAAGGTTGGGTGATCTACTTCCATAGTGATACTACCTCAGAAACCCAACGAGGGGTCGCTATGAGTCAGGTCTGACTTGATGGCACATAACAACAACAAATAGCATCATGGTACAACTCATGAGGTCATGGCAAAACCACACATCCTGGCTCCTTTTGACTGATAACAATTTCCTCCTCATTAACAGACATGGGATGGAAATCGTCAGAACTTGCTGGTTTGCTTCTTTCCTTTAATCTCTTCCAAGGCTACATTGTAAAAATCATTTTGTGTTCCTCCATCATTGCTTTGTCTGTCTTCACTTCACTTCTAAGTTTATTTTTACCCCCGATTATCTCCAAAAGGAGTATTCAAAATTTGCATTTATTTGCTCAGAAATTTTTGCATTTGAGAAAACTCACAATGAAATAAATAAACCCACACTTCTTAGAATTTCACAAATGAAGATAATTGAGTTTCAAGATAAGGAGCTTTTGTTTTTTTAATTTTCATCCTCATGAAAGAGACGCATCTATATTCCTACTTATTTTGCCTTTTAATCAGAAAGTCACCCATCTGGCATAATGGTGCTATACTCATCAATGAGACTCACTCATTCACTCATCCCCCTATGAAATATACAGAAGGGGAATATTCTTATTTTCGTCTATCAAATAAAAATGATTGCACATATTCACATCCATCCATAGTGCAAAATCAGTGTTGCTGCAGATAAAACCAAAACAAAATCCATTCCTGTCAAGTGGATTCTGACTCATAGCAGCCCTAAGGATGGTTGGGCAATCTACTTCCGTAGTAATACCACCTTGGAAATCCAAGGAGGGGGTCGCTGTGACTTGAGTCCAACTCTATGGCACATAACAACAACAACAACAGAGGACTAGTAGAATGGCCTCATAGGGTTTCCAAGGCTGTAAATCAGGGCTTCAAACCAGTTTGAACCAGTTCAGTTATAGCCAGTGACATGACCCAAATTTTTAAAATTTTTAAAACTTGGGTAAACCAGAACAATAGCCATACTGGAAAATATTAGGGGTCAAAGCTCTGGAATAGGATATTCAAAAGAGGTGTGCAGAACCCTTTTGGGAGTCCAATGAAGAAGATTAGATTATTTCCAGGACTGTGGAAAGCAACACCATTCAAAGCCACACCATCAACCACCATCTTTGAGCAGGGCACTGTTGTTTCACACTCTGTCCATCAAAAGATTTGGTTGCTATGTAATACAAACAACTGGCCTTGTCTCTAAGAAGGAGATTAAGTTTCTAGCAGGCTGTGAATCCATAAATTTTCCCATTCTGGTCCTTTTACAAATTCAAGTCCATTCTGGTTTCCCTTCTTAGACCACGACTGAACTGAGAAGAAACTGGTTCAAAGCCCTGCTGTGAATTGTTATGGAAGCAGACTGTCATATTTGTCTCCTGGGGAGTGGCTGCTAAGTTCAACTACTGACCTTTCAACTAGCAGTCAAACACTTAACCACTAAATCAATCTAATAATAATAATAATACCCTTCTCCTACAAAGTTTTTGTGAATAGGAAATCAGAAAAAAAATTAGTAATATGTTTAAATACAAGTAGGTTTTGATGAAATTGCATTATTCCAATACTTTTTATCAATTAACCACTTTCTCTTGACCATGTAAATTTTAAATATAATATCTTGCTTTTATCTCAAATATGTTGTTGTTGTTGTTTTATGATTAATACTAGTACTATGTAAGATGCCTTTTATGAATCAAAATCCATTCTGATTTTAAGAACACTGAATTTTAGGTAATTAGTAAACAATTACAGATGCCTTAAATATAGATAGATAGATAGATAGATAGATAGATAGATAGATAGATAGATAGATAGATGGCCATCAAGGCAATTCAACTACTGGATGGCAATTCCAACCACTGGTGACCTTATGTGTTACAGAGTACAACTGTCATCCATATTGTATTCTTGGCTGTAATCTTTATGGGAACAAATCACAAGCCTTTTCTTTCACAGCACCACTTGGTACATTCAAACTGCATAGTGCCTAAACTATTTACTGCTAACCAGAAGTTTGGCGGTTCAAACCCACAAGCCACTCAGTGGAAGAAAGACTGGGCAACCTACTTCCATAAAGATTTACCTCCTCAGAAACCCAAAGCAGGTTTCTATAAGTCTGAATCAACTTGATGGCAGTGAGTCTGGGTTTTTTGAGACAAGTATAAATCATTAGTGCCACCCAGGGATCTTATACATCTATATGAATGTATTTTCCCTCTGACTATGTATCTCTCAGAATAGTCATCAATGTGTCAATCTTGTAATAGGTTTGCAATAGTTTTCTACAAAAGTTGGGTGGTGTGTCTAGTCTATAATATCTTTGAGCTTAGTGCCTAAGGCACTTGACTGCTAACCAGAAGGCTGATGGTTCAAATCCACTAGCCATTCCTCAGAAGGAAGATGGGCAATTTACTTCCATAGAGATACCACCTCAGAAACCCAAGGGGGGTTTCTATGAATCGGGTCTGACTCGACAGCACATAACAATAACAACAGTATCTCTGAATTAATTTATAATGGTCTTCCTTTTCAAGCTTATTTGTATCAGTGTTTCTAATCTTTACAATTTTTTTTTTTTTTTTAATTCTGATGCTTACCCCAAAACAATTGAATCAAAATTTCTGGGAACAGAGCCCAAGCAGTAGTATTCCTAAAGCTCCCATGAGATTCTAATGTACATTCAGATTTAACTTAGGATGGCACTGTTTCCAGAATGAATAGAAAGGCACATATTCACATGAGAGTTGTTTTCTTAATAGCACACCTAGACTGCTCCAACAAGATATTTCAGCAAAACACTACAATGGAATTAGCGAAAAGGAAAAATGTCCACTAATTCCATTCAAAATAACTAGGAAACAAAAAACAACAACTTTCACTTAAGAAGGATATCTAGCTTTTTATCTGTTGGTCAAAACTATACAGGTTTCTTGGAATTTCATATATTTAATAGTTCCCTCAGTAAGGTAGATAGGTACATAGGTAGATGAGATAGATAGATAGATTGATTGATTTTGGGGGGAATCAAATTCATAGATAAGGAAGAAAAAGTCATGGCATTTTGTATTACAGGCAACTTAGAAAAATATAATCAGAAGAGCAAATTTGACATAAAGAACACAAAAAGACTAAAAAGGTATTAGAATGATTTGCACTTGCTGTGTGTCTTCATTTTCTTTTCTGGTACCTACTGTTTAATTTTGGAGCACAGAATGTATTTATACAATGATATGTGTACTACAGTACTAGGCTAGACAATGGACGGAATGTCAAACACATACAAATAAATTATGTGTGCCCAGGTGTGTATTTTATTTTTTATTTAATATTTGAAGTGAAAAGTGACATTTTGAAGTAAACAGAACAGCATTCTTCAAAGTGGTTTGGTAAAGGGAGACAGCTTTGTGAAGGCCACGTGCATCCCATGGTAATGTGGGTCATTAGTTGTCTTTTGTAGGAGCACATATCTGTCTCAGCAGTGTATGACAAGCATTGGAAATAGGGACTACATCTTATCTCTTTGGTATCCATAGAGCAGACAATCCCCAAAATGTGATAGACAGCAAGTATTTTTGATAAGGAGACATCCCTACACCCTTTGCCCAAAATGATGAGACTAAGGAGACAGACCCCCCAGCAGCAACGAAACTGAGTATCTGGGGACTTGGTGAGGAGATCTGGCTCATTTTTAAGTAGATAGTTATACTGAGTTATCTTTAAGGTTCCTGCCAATTCTATAGGGAGCTCTGGTGACATGGTGCCTAAGGCATTTGACTACTAACCAGAAGGCTGGAGGTTCAAACACACCTGCCACTCCTCAGAAGGAAGATTGGGCAATCTAGTCAGTAATTTTATTCTTTATTCCTAGGCATGAATTTAATCTTCATTGTCAAAATCAATATTAATATATAATCATTTATTATAATTTTATAATTATCAAAATTTTCAATTACAGGAAAGAAAGCTAAAGATAGAAAAAAAAAATTTGAAAAATTTTCAATTCTTTTTTTGACTTACAAAATCATATTGCCCACCTGAAAATAGAGATTGCAGAGCCAGTGGTCCAACTCCAGGCAAATCAAATCTTCAATTGTCCTGAAGTTGCTAAGTTTCTGATCATAACTTCCTCGGAGAAGGGGACATTTG